CTGTCTCTTATACACATCTAGATGTGTATAAGAGACAGCCCCCAACCCCTGCTTAGCACATTCACGAACCCTTTTTTCTTTTGCGCATGGCAGGCCTGGCATACGTTTCGCTTGGGGCATGTTTTTGCTACAAGGTTTAGTGCTTGAGATACACATATACCAGTAGTTTCTGCGCCTCACATGCACACACAAACTGACCTCGGCCGCCCGTCCGCTGCTGCTTGTGTCTTTGCTGCGTGGTTTGGGGCACACGTACACAGGTCATGACCCGAACGACTACGAGATCGGCAAGAGGCACTCGCTGCAGACGATCAACCTCATGGAGAAGGACGGCACCATGGCGAAGACGGCGGGGGCGTACGCGGGGCAGGACAGGTTCGACTGCAGAAATAACATGTGGGCGGACATGGAGGCCGCGGTAAGCACATGCAAACACACACACACGCACATTCTTTTCATATCGGTACATATTACGAGGGCTTGCACGGAGCCTGGGTGTGCTAGTCTCGCTCAAGTGTTGGTAGGTTGGGTAGATTCGTGCTGGAGAATTTCGGTTGAAGCGCTGTTTTGTTGAGGAAGGGTTTCGTGGACCAGCAGTTTTTGAGGCGAGGACACGTGGCGTGAGTTATAGAATTAGTAGTTCATTGGGCTTGCAGCAAAGATTGATCTTGTTCCATGTTTTTCGGTTACATGTAGCGGCTGCTTCTCGTGTTCCTTTCGAATTCGGTTTCGTTTTTTTTTAATCCTTCTGCACCGCCGCATTCGTTTCGCCGACGAGACAAAGACCTCGCGCCGACAACCCATGCCTACACATACAATGCTCTTGTGTCTTCCTTTGCGTATCGCTGTATGACCCTTAACGTATTGCTGTGTGATTGTTACGACCGTTCGTGCGTGTCGCGTGGGCATACTGTTTTGACGGTGACCCTTCACGTATTAGTGTGTGCTGTTTTTCGTACTACTGTATGATCGTTGCGACGGTTCGGTGGTGCCGTGTAGGCATCGCTGTTCCCGTCCGCCCAACTCCCAAGGCCAATTCAAGTCTACATCCAACATTTTGATGGATACAGCATGCGGTTTAAACGTTCCCGTACGATTTTGGTGCTGCTGTCTTGAGGGCCGTCTCCCGTTGACCTTGACACGCACACACGCAGGGGCTTGCGCTGAAGGCCGAGCCATACCTGCAGCGGGTCCCCCGTTCTCAGCGGGGAGGGGAGGTGATCGAGCCCCTGGTGTCTTCGCAATGGTTCGTGAAGACGGAGGGGATGGGGGCCAAGGCCCTGGCGGCCGTCCAGGAAAAGGACATCCAGATCCTCCCCGAGAGGTTCGCTTGTTTGTAAATGTTTTGTATGGGATAGGCAACACTTGTCAAGCCGGGGCCGGTTGTGGTTTTTTGAGACGGAAATGTGCGTATGTGCGTGTGTTTCACTTGCTGTTTCCGTATCTGCCCGTTCATTGCGAGAAAGCACACCATGGCAGTTGTGGAAGACTTGAGTTACGTGTAGTGCCCTCAGATCTTGCTTTGAGAGAGTTTTGGGGCAAGTTTTCCCGCAGTGATGTGCCCCCGGCCGTTGCAAGCGGACAGGATTTGTCAGTTTGTGGAGGTTGGATATGTTCCTTACCTTGGGTGCCCGGTGTGAACGACGATTGTTTGCGATCGCAGCAGCGTCCGTGTTTTGGTTTTGTTCAACAACGTTGAACTGAAACCTTTTCTTCCCTGCAACATTCTACTTGAGATCTGTTTCTCAACTAGGTTCGTTTTCGCAGACATTTTTTTTTTTTAGTCTGAAAAAAGCTTTTCGCCACTTCTAAAGCATCACACGAGGTAGATTTTGACCGAGGACATGAGCCTGAATCATGTTCACTCTGTCGTCTCTTTCCTAACCTATTTCCTTGTACACCCTGCTGTTCACTCAAGTTTTTATGAACGCCTTAACCAAACCCACGGATTCGATCGACACTCTTCTCCAATCCTACCGGATTCTTGGCCTTGAATCAGGTTTAACAAGGTCTGGCACAACTGGCTGGACGGCATCCACGACTGGTGCGTGTCGCGGCAGCTTTGGTGGGGCCACCAGATCCCGGTCTGGTACGCGTCTGGCCACGACGGTTACTTCGTCGCCAGGTGGGTGGCCAATAAGAAAATGCCGAACGAGGACAGTATTGCGTGTCTGTAAACAACAGGCATACTGGCGTGCGCGCGTCCGTGCATGTGTTTGCGTGTGCTGTCGGTACTGCATGCAGCCCACGGTGGATGATCGGCACGGTTTCATGCAAGATGACAAGAACAAGTGCATCGTTAGCAGTGGCGGTCCGAAGAGGGTCGATTGACTGACGATTGGCAGGTGACCAACCAGTGATAATATGCGAGAGTTTTTCGGACTTGTTTTTTCGTTTTTTTCCCTCTCTCCCGGCTGCGGCAGATCCGAGGAAGACGCTCGGCAGCAGGCAACCGATGCCGGAATTCCGGCGGATGTACCCCTGGACCGAGACCCCGACGTGCTCGACACGTGGTTCAGGTGAGTTGCGACGGGGGGGGGGAGGTGGGGGGGGAGGGGGGACTCGTGAAAACGCATGCCGTTTTCGTGAGACCGTTTCCTCGCATGCCAGGACGGAGTGATATGCCGGGTTTTCGCCGGCCCGGGCTACGTTTCACTAAGGCGAAGCAGAAGCTGGTCATCATCCTTGCTGTGCCAAGGCAGATTGCCGGGGGGAGGGGGCATTGCCGTGTATGGCGGGGCGGCAGTCTTGGTTCAGATGGCGAGGTCCTGACGTACGTAGTCGATGCCTGATTCGCACGGGTTGCGAGGGGCGGGGCGTCTCGACAAGATTTTGCCCGCATTGAAAGGGACGGGGAGAATGGGGAGGGGGCTGGCTGGCGCGCTGGACACGCTTGGCGTGTGCAGGCAGGGTATGCGATAGGCTACCGCCTGCGGCCAACTTTTAATAGCCGGGTCAGGACGACAACACCGCCTCAAGATTTGGTCTTTGTAACCTCGTCAGCCCTGAATGCTCCGCTGATGTGCCTTGTGTGTGTACCCTTTGTTTGTTTGACGTGTCTTGCCGTACTCATTTTCTTCGCTGCTCGAATGTACTCTTGTTTGTTTTTTTGTCTCATGTTCCTTACGCAACTCGAATACCATGGGTGTACGCCAAAAAGGGGGCGACTCTGCATACATGGTACCGCGCAACTTTCCTTGTTTTGTGTCTTTCCTGTTTCTTTCTTCTGTTCGCTCGTAGTGTGACCATTCCGTTTTTTTGCGTTTCCTTTGTTAAACCGTCCTTGTTAAGTCTCTTATATTAGAGAAGGACACGAGTGGAGTTCGTCCGCACCACACACGCAGCGATCCTCAAAGCCGACGTCGGGCCCTTACTCCCAGCCCTTCGCCAGCTCATAAAAAACAAATGTCGCTGCAAGATCAACGCCGCCGGTAGCGCGTGTTCCACGAGTAATGCACGCCGTAGGGTCGCAGAGGGGACAGAGCAGAGGGGGCCAATCACCGAGTTATATTCGCAGACAACAACTAGCCCCGCCGCGGGAGGAAAGGGGGGGGGGGGGGGGGGGGGGGGGGGG